ATGAGTCAAGATACTGTCTCTTAAATGGTTACCTAACTAAATCATCATTCTGGACACGTGCCAAAAAAACTGAAACCATACCAGTTGGGGAGGAGCACCTCCTTGTGACCTTACTGCTTAATTACAGGGAAGCTACCAATCTACCAGTGAAATTATCTCTTTGCTTGACTTTCAAGCTCCCTGAATTAAAGTGGTAGGCAGTCATGGGCACTGGGGCACTGAGGCTGGGTATCATGATGGCCTTGATTAGTCCAGGAACTTTTTCTAGATCAGTGATCCTCGAACATGAAATCATGTGGGCACAGAAAATACTGATATCCAATATCCACTTCAGGACTTCAGGACTGGGCTATTGCCTGGGTACCAGGTAATTTTAACATACGGCCAAGGTTTCAAGCCACCACTCTAGTTGTATGCCTCTCATGCAAGCTACTTGGGACGCTTTGTAACTCATGTATATGTAGCATTCAGGTTGCTCGAAACCTGTCAGTACCCAGGTTTGCTGACTCTGGTCATTCATTTATTCATCAGATCTCAACTACGTGCTTATTACATCCTAAATGCTAGGCAGTGGCGATGTAGACAGTGATGTGCTGGTAAATACTTAACAACCAGGGCTCTGGGAAAAAACAAATCCCTGATTTGTAGTGTTTGCTGATTTCTCTGTTATAAGCATCCCCACCATGACTGATCTCAAGCAGCTAACTTAGAATCCACTGAACTCAGAGTTTGGAAGAAATGCAGGTAATTGGCTTTTGCGAGCCAGTGTGAGTTAGCTCCAACACACTCATGGATAGAGTGAATTCACCCCGCACCCTTAAGGTAAGCAGAGTCTTGTTAGGAAAAGACCCACATGTGCACAGTTAACTGAAATCCCAAATGAAGGGTGTGGGAAGGAAATAAGTAAATTCAGCCTGGCAGGGTCAAGGAAGTTGAGTTTTGATGAATGAATAGCTGACCAGAGACAGACCTTAGAAATCAATTTTCTCAGTTGTCCCCTTTTGTTTTTCTCTAATGGCTTCCAAATACCTATGATGTCATCCACAGCCAGTCAGCATCTGACTAGGCTGAGCTAACTGGTGTTATGCACTGAGAAGATACAATTCTGCCCAAGAGGAGAGATGTCAGAGTTTTACTTAGTCTATGCAGCATTAGATCAGCAATACAGATGATTCCGTCAGCTATCTTAAAGTATGGTGGATAGCTTGTGGGTCTCTAGTTCAAACCACCGAACTGGTCCAGTTCTATCACAGTAGGTAATGAGAAACTGAGGCTCAGAGACCCCAAGTGGCTTGGGCTTGCTGCTTGAAGCTGGCATGAGAAGCCTGGCAGCTCCCAGGGCAGTGTTGGTACTCTGCTACTGGGCCAATCTTAAAGATCAAACACCTCCTGGACAACATTTATTAATACACTAATCTGAGGAACATCAGTTCATTTGCTTTGAACGAAAGGTTATGGGCAGAAAGGAAATCCAATCTTGTGTCTAAATTGATCCTAATAAGCCCACAATTGGCAGCCTCAGTGATGATCCTCTCAGGCTGTAATTGTGTGAAAAATGGATGAATTCCTATAACTAAGGAAAAACCAAATCTGCCCCCACTGGATAGTGGTTAATAATCTCATTAAGTTATCAATGAAATTAGCAGAGCCTTCTGCCTTGATTAGTGGGGAATATTAGGTGCAGTTATTTTGTGGAATGTTGAGAAAGCCAACAGTGCATTGCCTTGGGGAATTCTTCCTGCTGATTGATGGTCCCCTGGAGGCCAGACCATGTGGTTAGCTCTGAGTATCTTGCCTATGTGATATGATCAAGGATGCAGCAGACCCTTACTCCATGCAGAGGAGGTGCTGGGCCACTTGGGGATCAATTTAGGAGTATTTATATGTGCACATGCAGCCGGTGGCAGGATAGATTGGGGAAATCTGGAGTTAAGGGTTCATTTAAAAGACACAGTGGTAGTGTAGAAAGAGAACTTGACTAGGAGTCAGGAACCCTGGGACTTCATCCTGGCTCTCCCCAGCAGGGTGACTTTGCACGAGTCACTTCCCCTCTCTGATGTCTTCTCCTTATCAGTAAAGCAAAAGAGGGGTTTGACTTAGTTGAATCTATGAATCTTTTCTCTAGCTCCATCATCCTCATCTTTTCAGTGTCTGAAAACTCAAGACTCAGTTAATAGGTAAAAGATATTTTTCTTCTCACATGTCAACACCAAGCTTCACACCCATAAACTCATAAAAACCCAGACTGATGTTTTTGTTACAGTGGTCAACCCTAGTTAACTACATCATCCACCACCCATGTGGTTTAGAAGCTGTTTGAGTTAGAAGCTAGAGAATTCGATGCTTCCAGATCTGCAATTCTTTATCCCCTACTCTCTTTACTGCAATAACCTAAACATTTGGAGTTACAATTTTTGTTAGAGTTTCTTGTCTTTGAATGATCATCTTTGAACTAAAAATTAAGTGTATGTGATGATTCATAGTTCATTTATTTGAGAATTTTTTATTTGTGTTTAACGCTGTGGGAGAGATGTTAGTGTTTCAGTTATTTCCTCTCCAAATCCTCTAGGCAAAATTCATCACTCCCTCCTTGGTGCACCCTTTATGCCTCTTGCATAATTCTTCTCACATTGCACTTTGCTTGGTTTTTCTATGTGTCCATCCCTCCAAGAAATTGTGAGCCTTTCAGGGCAAAAACTACATCTTATTCATCTCAGGGTCCCCATTTCCACTGTGCCTGGTTCATAAATGTTTGTACAACTAAATTGAGTTGAGCTCCTTGTGGGAAAACAGAAGAAGCCAACTAACTTAACATTTATCTTCAGTGCCTGTTGGTCTTTGACAGGACATTTTCCTCCAGAAGGTAATTGATCTCAACTGTGCTTATGTTTCAGTCATTTCCTCTAGTCCATTGCTTTCCAAATCTACAATATTAGCTCTGAGGCCAACTCCAAGACTTGATCCCAATTGCCTGATGAATATGAAATTTTTTTTTAAGTTAGCATTTGTTGAGCATTTATCTGTTGCCAGACAATTTTGTATGCCTCAATATTTAAAGCAACCCTGTATCTATTTTCCCTTTTTGCAGGTGAGGAAATGGAGGCACACAGAGGTCCTAAAACTTACCCAGTCACACAGTTAGTAAGAGGCAGAGCTGCGATTTGAACCCAGGCCTGTCTGACTCTTTGGACTATATACTGCTGCTTCTCTGGATGGCCAGATGTAAAGTCAAGCTCAACATATATCAAATCAAATTCCCCACCTTATCTCTTAAGCTAGGCCTTCTTCTCTCATTCTTTTGCATTCAGGCACTAGGTCAAAACCTCAAAGACAGTTTGGGCTTCTGCCTCTCTTTCACTCCTGCATGCTAATTACGCACGAAGGCCTGACCAGTTGTCCTTGTCAATATCACCGGAAGTGCCTCTTTCCCCTTCTTCCCACTGCCGCAGCCCTAGACTGGGCTCAGTTCCTTCACGTTTAGTTTCCTGCAAAAACTCACTGGTCTCCAGGTCTCCTGTCTGCCTCTTTAAGTTGTCCTTTTCTCCCCTGTTAGTACGAGTTTTCTATATTTGAATGTTTCATTTTCTTGATCAAAGTCTCTGCGGTGACACCTTGTACAAAATTAAGCCCAAACTTCAAGAATGAGAAAAAAAACAACAGCGTCATTTGAGTCTCTGGTAATGGGCTAGGGATTTTAATTGTGCTATTCTTATCTAATCCTCAAAAGTAGGTCTTTTGATTTCACTGCTGAGTCAACTGAATTACCTGTTAAAGGTCATAGCCAGGAAGTGGTGGGTGTGGCAGTGGGACCAAGGCGTGTCTACCACAAAAGGGTATATTCTCTCCATCCCTCGTTTGCCTCCTTAGCCTGATACCAAAGAAACCCTTGGCAGTCTGGCCCCGATCTTTCCAGCACTCTTTTCCAATTTCTTGGCAATTAGTCCATTTCCAGATGGGCCAATTCCCTCTGTTGTGTAAGCACCTCAGTCACTTTTGCCGTGTCCTTCTGTTGTGATATCATACCTCCCAACCCTGGAGGCCTGCTTTCTCCACTGAGCTTATAACCTGCAGGTCTTTGGATGCTTAATTGAGATTTCTTGTCCCCAGGGGCTTTCTTCTTCACCTCTAAGCTCAAAAAACCTTCCCCAGCTCTTGACCTTACCATCATTCCTACTCCTTTACCCTTCACTGGTGTGACTGTTTAACATCATGTCTCACTAACAAGAAAAAGGGCTTCAAGTTCAGACAGTTGTGGGTTCTGTTTTAGGTTGGGTTTCCCCAGAGGCAGTTTCTGAACAGTGAGAATTCTTGTCTGAGTGATTTATTAAGGAGAAATCCCAGGAAAAACAAATAAGGAAGTTGTGCGAGGTGGGAAGAGGGGCATAGAAGTGGAAGAAGTCAGGCAAGGGAACAATTTGGGACAAAGTCTTGGCTCAGCCTGACTCCGAGCTCTAGAGTACAAATTACGTCTCTGCTTTTGTCCCTGCTCTGGGCGAGGTTGCTGGGCTTTCCTGCTCCCAATCAGTCACTGTCTAAGAGTCACCAGGGATGGGGGGATAACTCAGCTCCCAGGTTTTGATAGCTCTCTGGGAGCAATGGCAAAGTGGATCTAAGAGCTTCAGGGCAGGCCTGTGAGGGGAATACTAGGAAGAGGTCATTAGATTAGAGGCAAAAACTAAACCAAAACAGCAGCAACAAAAACACAGCACCTGGAGGAAAGGCAAGCAGAAATGGTAAAGAGGAATGGGACCTACTTAGGGGAACATCAGCTGCATCTGCTAAGCGTTGATGTATTAGTCCATTTTCATGCTGCTGATAAAGACTGGGCAATTTACAAAAGAAAGAGGTTTAATGGGACTTACAGTTCCACATGGCTGAGGAGACCTCACAATCATGGCGGAAGGCAAGGAGGAGCAAGTCACATCTTACATGGATGGCAGCAGGCAAAAAGAGAGAGCTTGTGCAGGGGAACTCCTCTCTTTAAAACCATCAGATCTCATGAGACGTATTCACTATCATGAGAACAGTGTGGGAAAGACTTGCTCCCATGATTCAATTACCTCCCACTGAGTAAGGAGGTAATAAAGGGACTGGCATGTAGCAATCATTCAGTAAAGGTTAGTTGCTTTCCCTGGAAAGTGCCTTGTATTTTATATGTGTATGCATCTACACCACACCATACTATATTATACCATTCACAATTACATTATTATATTTCTAAATATGTTACATTCATTCTGTCTCAGGTCTCTCATGTATGCTCTTCCTCCTAATTCCTTCTAGTGTAATGCACTCTTACTATCCTTTAAATCTCACTCCAGATGCCACTTCTTCCAGGAAGTTTTCTTTGATTTCCAGGCTAGGTCACATTCCTTCCTGTCTCCCTCACAAATTATATGCTGTCAAAAGACCTTAAACATTTTTTATGTCTTTAAGCTCTTATTACTGTTTATTATTCTGAATATACTTCTGTTATTTTTATTAAAGTATGTCTCATGCATTAGAAGAGATTGTCTTTTTATCATGTTATTTCTTGAGCCTAACAATGTATTGAATTCAGAAATGAATGAAGGAAAGCATAAGTGAACACAAATGATAAGTCAGTGGGCATTAGAGCAGAAACCCTGGTCACTCCTTGGCACTTTCACCTAACAATACTTCAGTAAATGCTTTCTGGTTGGTTGGTTGGTTGGTTAGTTGTTTGGTTGGCTAATAGGTTAAATGACACTGGAATGGGATTTCTAGGCCTGTGTCCTAGTCTAGGTTTATTTCTGATTGTGTGTGTTCAGCAAGTCAGCATCTCCTCTGGATCTCAGGTTTCCCAGATTTCAAATGAGGAGATTGAATGTGATGGTCTCCAAGGGCCTTCTTGGTGCCAGTCCCTAGCTGCCCAGCATGGATCATCTGGGGAAGCTGTATGGGAAAGGGTTGCTAGGGATTGCAGACAGAAGGCTGTAAACTGCACTCCCATCCATAAAAGGGTTCTTGTATATCAGAGTGGTGGGAGACAGATGCAAAGGCTGGGACAAGACTGCTGTGGAGCACTGGGTGGACCTAAGAGGGAAGGAGGAGCTGGATTTGGCCCTGAGCACCAGAGCATAGTGAGGTGGTCATGGGAGCAGCTGAGTTGGTTCAAAACTGTACCTTGCCTGACTTTTTTTCCCCTGATTCTGGCATAAGTAATGCTGCTGCTCTACAGCCATATGACCTTGGGCAAGGTAATATGCTATGTAACTTTTTTTTTAATTGCCTCAGCTTCCTCATCTGTAAAGTGAGGGTCATAGGGTTCTAGGAGTTAAAATACTTAATGCATGTAAAATGCTTAGAATAATGATTGGTGTATAGTAAAAACTCAATAAGCAGTAGCTATTATTGCTGTGCTATGGCCACTGCTAATGAGGAAGGCACTCTGGACAGACACACAGCTCCCAAGTCTCTGATTCCATACCTTGGCATTTGAAAATGCCATTTTGTGAGCTTTGCCACATTGGTGTTGTGGAGAGTATGTGAGCATTAAGGCATGGCAGACCTTTATCCAAATTCCGGCTCTGTAAGCTACTTAATCTCCCTGAGACCCAGATTCTCATTTGTATAATGGGAGATTAAGACTCACCTCAAAGGATTACTTTGAGGGTTAAATATGAATTTATGGAGCACCTATGGCTTACAAGACATGGTGTGAAACCCTGTGCCTCTTCTCCGTGGCAGCATCGAGGGATCTTTTGCAGGCGAGCGGGAAGTGAGTGTCCCTCCCATGACATTATTCTTGCAGAATTAAAGACAAATTTATACTGTGGGTAATAAACTTATGGAATTCATCACTCTGGGATTGTCAGGGGATGAATATGAATAGGCCTAGAAGGATTTAGGAAAATGGATGAAGGCTGGATTCTCAGTGAGTTACTACAGCAGCCATTTCCTAGAAAATGTGCATTTAGGAATAGTGGTCATGCTGAGATGCTCTGTTGGAAAAGAAATAAGAAATAAATAGGTTCTGCAATGAAAAGCCTTTGGAGAATGATGCTTCCTATATTCCACTCCTACTAAGAACTTCACTTTGGACAGCTGCTCAATTGCTGATTCAGCAAATATTTAGAGTACCTACTATAGCACAGGTACTGTTCTAGGTACTCATAATACTGCAAGGAAAAAAACCAGATTCCTGTTCTCATGGAGCTTACAGTCTAATGGGAAAGACAAAAAATAAGCAATAAACATAATAAATTATGAAATTGTATGGTGTCTTTGAAGGTGAAAATGCATTGGAAGAAAATAAAAAAGAAAGTTCAAATAAGGGGGATTGCAAATGCCAGGGTCAAGAGGTGCAGGTTATAGAATTCCATAGGGTGGTTAGAGCAGTCTCATCTAAAAGGTGGCCTTTGAGAAAAGAAGAAGGCAATGGAGTTAGACAGTTAGCTGTCAGAGAATGTTTCAGGCAGAGGAAAGACCCAGGGCAAAGACCCTGAGGCAAAGAGATGCCTATTTTTTCTTCCCAGGAAAGGCCTGTGTACCTGGACATAGGGAGAAGGAAGCGTGAAGTGCCGGGGGCCTTATCAGCCAATGTAAAGGCTTCTACATTACCAGCTTCAGACAGAGGAGTGGCAAGATCTGACTCAGTGTAAAGGCACTGAGAAGTTCTTCATACTCCTTTAACTTAACCCAGGTCCTCCCAAAAGTGTTTGACCATGGAACTCCTTTTGTTTTCTATAAAGCCTCTTAACAGCTTTAAACGTATTACACTCTGCCCTCTTCTGCTGGTAGTTCAGATACTCGTTAAACTTAATGTTGTATGTCCCAAACATTTTGCCTCTGGAATCTTTTCTTTTCCCTTAAAGACCATTAACATCTTGCTTAGCCAGTATTCTAAAACCTCTCCATTCAAGTATGGGCTGTAGACCAGTTGCATCAGCATTTCTTGAGAGCTTGTTAGAGACGCAGAATGTCAGGCCCACCCTGGACACTCCGAGGACACATTAAAGTTTCTGTGCACACTAAAGTTACGAGGTACTGCTCTATGGGACACACGTTGAGAAATGCTGGATTCGAAAAAAGTTGTGTGTGTGACTGGGGAGAGGTTGGGGTGGAAATAATTTGCAGATAAGTTTATGGTACTTTATATAGATCATTTCCCAAGTGCCCATCTGCCTATGGTCTATCCAAGGTGTTCTTGAAGCTGACTGAGCTGAAATGTCCTACTCATATCCCTCCATACCTTTAATAACTCATCATGGCTTGAGGCTTTGATTAAAATTCTCCTGACACCTGTTTAGAAGAAGCCTGGGCCTCTTGGAGTAATGAGCCCCATATGTTTATCACTCACATCTATATTCAGACTGCCTATAGCAGTCCCCAAATGCCACTTTCCTTCCACCTTTTAGAATGTCTTTCCTTTCAGTGTCTGAAGTTTCTGGTGCCCTCTAAGACACCCAGATGTTAAAGGACAGGGATGTGCTTATGAGCTAGGAGAATGTCAGGGTTGAAGAGGTAATCCATGCCTTCTATTTCCTCTGCTCTTGTGCTCAGAAACACCCCTTTCTATTCTTGTTGCCTCTCCTTCCTCCATCTCCTTTCAGCAACAGCTGTAGTGTCAAGAGCCCATGCCTTGCTTAGGGTCAAATGGACTGGTGTTTCCGTCTCAGCTTCATTATTTCCAGCACCAGCTTAGACAGACAAGTGTCAAGATCTGACTCATGCAGTGCAAAGGCACTGTTCTGTCCTTAGAGCCTCTTTCCCCCAATTGTGAAGGGGATGCACAAGTGTCTGCATCATCGGGTGGTTGTGAAGACTACATGAGAAAATCCTAGGAAATTTCCTCTTGGCCCTTTTATGTGCCATGGACCTTTGAATCCTAGGCAAGAGGCTCTAATAATAGAAACTAGGAGACCTAAAAATTGCTTGCATGATGTAGGCGTATTTGATTGCTTGGGATGGAACAGAGCGAAACTGCTGGGCGTGTGTGTTGACACTTGATAAGAAACACAGATTCCCAGGTCATCTCACAGACAGGGCTGCACTGGGCCTCCTGCCTAGGCCTGTTCGATGAAGCACCAACAAGCCCCACAACTTTGTTGCTTTTGCTATGCCCATTGGGACCAGTGAGAGAAGTGTGGTCTTATCCCTGGGAGGAGAGAAAGAGCCAGCATGTGCAGGTGCCCACAGGCTGTCAAGGTGAGTGTCCACTCCCCTCCCTTGGAGAGGGCTGACTAATTCTCAGTGAATACGATTGCAGCCAAAAAGGGGTTATGGGGAAGGAAGGCTGTGCATTTGTTCTGAGCATGTGTGTGCCTGTGTCCCTTATTAGAAACCAAAATAGAAAAGAACATGAAGAGGTCTGAAAAACAGAATGAGTGACAACAGGAACAGACAGCACGGACACATGCTGCCAGGGCCCAAGCTTGCCAGCACAAACAGAGGGCTTCTCAACCTGGGCATTATTGACATTTTAAGCCAGATAATTCTTTGTTGTGGGTGGGAGTATCCTGTGCATTGTAGAATGTTTAGCAGCATCCCTGGCCTCTACCCATTGGATGCCAGTAGCAAAATCCCCAAGTGGTAACCACTGAAAATAACTCCAGACTTTTACAAATGTCTGCTAGGAGGACAGAATTGCCCCCAGTTGAGAGTCACTGACATACAGAGGGCTGAGTAAATGGGCCTTGTCTTCACAGTCCAGAAACCAAGAAAAATGCACCAGGGTGGCTCATGAATTTACATGCCTAACTTCCTCCTCTGTTGCCTCATGATACATTGGCAGCAGGCAGAGGCCGAAAGGATTCCAGGTGACCCTCAGAAGATTGAGAAGAGGCCTCAGTGACACGTTCTAGACACAGCTCTGCTCTCTTACTATTTTTCTGGCTCCATATCTGGTTCCTAAGGCCCAAACATCATCGAAACTGGGGCCAGAACTGTTCACTGGCGCTCTCACTAATTGAAAACTGTCCGGGGCATTTTGGCTGTTGGGAGCATTTCATCTCACATTGATTTATTATTATATTTTTAAAGACACTGAGATTTAAGACTCATCCAGGAGACACAGCTTGCCAAGACATAATTAGGAGCAAATGACAGAGGTAGTAAATATATAATTAACTCTTTTCTTAGTGTCTTTTCCTGGCATTCTTAGTCTATCCACACAGCCTGGGAACCGGTTCTCTGGACTCTCCAGGCAACTAGAGACCAATTACCATCATGTGCACATATTATGTTTTTGAATAACTGGTATACTTGTTTATATGCAGCAAGTTAAGCGGACAGCCACAAAGGTAAACATGGGTACACACACATTAACAGTTCCTAATTGGTTTATTTTGATTGGTTGGTTGATTTACTCACTGACTCATTGATTCAAGAAAGATGTGGTGCACACCTACTGTGTGTGAGGTACCATGCTGTTTCCACCTTGCTAAAATCTGTCCCTAACTAGAAGACTTTGAGTTCTTGTATATGTATACACATAATGTGTATATGCATATGATACCAGGGAATTCTATACACCCATGTACACATACACACATATATTGAGGTTCAGAGAGGCCAAGTAACTTGCTGAAAGTCACATAGCTATTAAGTAATGAAGCTGGTATTTTGTCATAAGTATGTCTGATTTTCACTTTCCTATACAATCTCCTTTCAAAGTATACTTCCCAGAGAAGATGACAGTTGAGCTGAATCTTGAAAGGTAGATAGGACTTTACAAGGTCAACATGATAGGAAATGACCTATGCAAAGGCTGGTAGAGTTCAGGAACTCCAAAAGTAAAATACAGAGAGACACCAGATGCCTTGGGAGGAGCTAGAGAAGACAGTATGGGCAAGGACCCACTAATAGACGATCTTGTTACAGAACCTGTAGCAAAGTTGGACTCAGATCTGACCCAGATGTTAATCTCTCTCCTTCAGGAGCTGAAGAAGCTCCCACTTGGAGTTGCAGCCTCTGGCCAGGTCCACCAGCATAAGTTACAAGGTGACCCCAGGCCCATTAAGAAACCAGGGAGCACTTGATTTCACCCAGTAACTGTCTCCAGCCTTCTCTTGCCCAGGAAGCAGGGACCAGTTAATTGCAGGGTGATCGCCATGTTCTTGCGGAGCATTTAATGTAGCATGTAATTGCAGGGTAAATAAATGCAGAGCTATTTCCAGCTCTCAGCCCAGTGCTGCAAGCCTAGTGGTAATTATGGCTGGGGATTGGCTGGGTGCAATTTCCAAGCAATGGCTCCAGGCATGAACTGGGTCAGCCCCCAAGCAGGCCCTGTCTTCTCCCAGGAGAACAAGGATGCAGATCTGTCCAAGCTTCCCATTTACTCAGGCGCTTAGCATCTTGGTTAGCTGCTCTGGATTCCCCAATACTCTAGCCCACAACTGCTTCTTTAGGCTCCTCATCCTTCTGGTTGGTGCCGATTCTCCCTGATAGTAGTGATTAAGATGCCTGACTTGGAGTCAGATGGAAGTGAGTTTGTGTCAAGCCCCTTCCTCACACAAGGCTGTGTGACCTTAGATAACGTTGCAATTCTCTGAGCCTCAAATTCCTCATCTATAACATAGGGATACAAATAATACATATGTCGTAAAGTTGTGAGGATTAAATAAGATAATGCATGTAGAATGCTGAGCATGGTGCCTAGCTCAGAATAAGTGCTAGATATTAGCTAATCTTCCCTCCCTCCCTTCTTTCCTTCTTTCCTTCTTTCTTCTCCTTTTTCCCCCTTTCCTCCCTCCCTTCCTTCTTTCTTTTCTTTAGAAACTGTGCAAGAGAGGAAAGAGCATACATTTGAGAGCCCAACAGACCAGGCTTTAAGTCCTGGTTCCATCAATTCCTTGACGTTTTGGTCTTTGAACAGTAATTTGACTTCTCCCAGCCTCAATTTCCTCATCTGTTAAGTAAGAACAGTACCACCCACTTCACCAAGTTATTGTGAAGATCAAGTGAGATTGAAGCCATCAATGTTCTTTGTAAACTGTGGGCCAGGCAAAATGAAAACTTCCTGCTCAGAGTTTAAACCTGTGTCACAGATTGGGTCCCCAGGAAGGAAACTCTGAAATAGATATTTACTTGCAATGGTTTATTAGGAAGAACTCATAAAATTACACTTAAGGAAGGAATGGGGAGAAAGCAGGATTAGGCAGAAGGAGAAGCTGAGCTGTGATGCAGTCTCAATGAGCATCTTACCTGATGCCATGGGAAATGTGAAAATGGAGTGAGCCTTCAGAGTTGTTCCAGATAGGGAAAGGGGTTCAGGCCTCAATATCTTTCCATGGATCTGTCATCGGATGTGAACCGCCCTGTAAAGAAGGCATGATCTGGAGCAAGGCAGCTCTCTGTGGTCAGGGTTAGGGCAAACCTCATGGGGAGCTGGCAACTGAGAACTTTCTGCAGGCAACATCCCCAGCAAGTAGTAAGATAAGTCCTTCCTTCTTGAAGAGGGACCTGGGAAGCACATCACAGCATCCACCACAACCTGTTGCCTCAACCTACCGAAGTTCTCAGAAAACTTCTTCCCATTCCCAAGCTCCTCATCCTTTCCCCTGCCATCCCATCTCCATATGTGTTGTGGCCCATTCTTTCACTCCTTTCACTTCCTCGTCTCCCTTTCTTCTCGCCCAGAGTCATTTCTAGATGTCTAAGCTCATCTGGGGAAGTTCTTTGATCTTGGTCAAGTGGCAGAGATGGAGACACAAAGGCCAGCCCTCATCCAGCTTCTCACCTCCCTCACTCAGAGCCTTGCTTGAGCTCTGTCTGTCCTTGGGCTCTTGGGTCCTGAAAATATGTGGCTGTCAGTGGAGATGTGTCCTTCCATCATGCTCCCAGCACCTATTTGTCTCTGTTTGTGGATCTAACCTCTTATGCTTGCCCCAGTGTCCTTGTGTTTGTGTCTCTATCTTTATTATTATTATTATTATTTTACTATTATCTGACTTGGCTTGAAGCCCACATCCCTTGATGCTGCTGTCTGAGAATCTACAAGGCTCACCCCAGTTGGAGCCCAACTCAGAATACCAGGAATACTAAGTGACTCGGACACTTGTTGTTGCTGTGTCCAGTAGAGAAAGAATAGAGGAGGCCTAAGAGGCACAGAGAGAAGGCTAGTTACTTTGGACCACTTGAGGCTCTTCTATGTGGAGGTCCGTTCAAGAGAGACTGAGTTCCCGAGTTCATTATTGAAAGTGCGTAAGCAGAAATGGAGGCCTCTAAGTGTGAAGACAGAAATGGGATTTAGACCTTGTAGGTCAAGGGCTGGCCACTTATATGTGATGTCACCTTGAGTAATGATCTCAGCATTCCTGAATTTGCACTTTCACAATGGCCAACGTGGTTCACCCCAGCTCTGCAGAATGCTCAGAGGAGGAAAAAGTGAGAGAGTTCTTGTATGAGGGGTGGAATTTTGTAACTTTTTCCTGACACATGAGGACTTTCTGTCCCCTCTTACCCCAAATATAACCCATCTTAGTACCTGAGGAGGCCCAGTGCAGAGAGGGCTGATGCCAGCTCACATTCAGTGTGGATTCCTGAGGGTTATGACTTTTCTGGATTTCTTAAACTACTCTGTGCAGAGAGGGGACACCAGGCTCAGGGAGAGCCACTCCTGGGCTTGGTGGAGTTTGGCTGGGTGGTGGGGAGAAGTCAGGGTTTCTGATCACCTCACTCCCTGGCAGCTGCCCCAGGGAAACTCTTGAGTTTCTATGACCCAGTGGTAGGCATGGAGCAGCGGCTACACCAGGTCTCATGCAGGAAGGAAGGAAGGATAGAGGCAGGTAGTGTGAATGGTCACTCTTGTGCCCCTAAGACAACGCCAGGCCAAGGTCCCCGCTCTGATGGATTGGTGTCATGGCCTGGGTCCAGGCTTTAGAGGGTGATTTGCCTTCATTCAACTCACTGCCCACCCTCCTCTCTCCTGGTCATGAGTCATAGACTTGGGGAAGACAACTTCCGGGAGAGACCAAGGCCCCTGAACCAGCTGGGGGTTGACTGCCCAACACCTTACATGTAGTCTGTAAACTAACTCTAGTTGAAGCTGTCACCAAGGAGACACAATAAGGTTGTCCTGTCCACTTCTGTACTTACACTCAGCCCTTTTGTGATACTATTTCTTCTATAAACCCCCTAAGCGTGTTTATTCTGTTTTGAGTTTATCTATGACCTATGTTTAGAAGCCCTCCTTGCTCTCCCTCCATATGCACCAGGACTTACTGATGGGGTTAGAAGCTCTTCCACACCCCAGGCCCTTCCTAACACTTCCTACTCACTCCTCCGTCTGTCCAAGGCAGGGTTGGAGGCATCTGCAGAGAGCAGGCCCAGCACAGAGGGCCAGAGTCACCCTCAGTCTGGCCTTGACTCAACTCTCCCAGCATACCATAAACATAGGAATTTGATACAGGTGGTGTCAGAAATGTTAAACTATGAAATAGGACTTGCCCTGCAGACCCACCCCAGGCACACCATCCTTTAGCTGGCTGTGTATGTGCACTATGGGGGCAGGCACAGTTCCAGGCTCTGTATAGGAAAGTAACCTGGACCTTGGAGGTTATTTTGTCCTCATTTTGAAGTTGCAGAAACTAAAGGCCAGGATTAGGGCAGGACATCCTACTCACACAGTCAGTGAGAAGCAGGCTGGATCTTGACGGGGCAGTCTGGCCCCAGCAGCCACCCTGGACTGCCTTGACTTGACTGCGGTGTGAGAGGCTCCCTGCCATCTTTTCTGTGTAGCCCTGGGCTCCCGTATCTCTGACCCCATGCAAATAGCTCCTCTCTCTGCCTTCATGGAAACGCTGGGACAAAAACTTAGGCAAATGAGGCTTCTAGTGGCTAGGGCCTGAGTGTGATAAGAGGGAACATTGAGTGGGATTTACACATCCAGTGGAGAAGCTCATCAAGCCCTGGCCAGCACAGGCACATTCAACCTTCAAACCTGGGAAAGATCCAGGTCCGGTGTGGTCTCAGCTATGAATTCACTCATGTGCCTCGCTTTCCTGCCCCACCTTCAAGGGCTGGCACCAGGACTCCACAGCCCATGAGTCACAGACAGCACTGAAACTGTGGCCCAGGACCTCCATACTGCACCATGATGTCATGAGCTAGCAAGGCCGCTTGAACCTATGTGCCCGGCAGGCAGCTGCAGACACTGCTTTCAGAGCCAGCAAGACCACTGACCCCAGATTCCTCTCCAGCCTGCTCACAGGGTGCAGGAGTCCTGTAACAGGACAGGCCTTCTCCGTCCCTGGGAACGATCAGTGTCATGAGGTTCTTGTTGGGAGGGGCAGACAAGGAAACCTGCGTGTACTCATGTGGAATCGACAGACATCAAAACCTTCTCTATGGGGCCAGAGGGAAGAGGAAAGTAAAAGGTATAGGATGTAGGGGATTGGGAAAGAATCTCTCTTAGGAGAGGGCCTGAAAGGAAAATCCTACAGAAAAAAATGCCATGGTTATCAAGGATAGAAAAACGTATCCTTCAAACAAGCACAATGCCTGGCTCATAGTAGCTACTCAATAAATATTTGTTGGATAAATGTGAAATCTAGATGTGGACTTTGTGTACCCAGATTTCTGTTTTCTTATTCTGGTTAACTTGAAATCATTTTTCCCTCTGAGTTTTGATGTTCACTTTTGCAAAATGAGAATGCCACAACCTTCCAGCACAGATCACTGTACCACTGCTACGATGCAGGCAGAGGTGCCCTGAAAGTGGCAAATGTTGTGCAGATATGGGGAGGTTTCATTTTTCAGCGCTTTCCCTCCAACCACCCCTGGGGTCAGCCCCCTGCATCCATCATCAACATCTAATGCTTTTCAGCAATTACTCTAGGTTAATTGGCTCAGGCAGAGCAGTCCATAGGAAATGCCCCCGGTGGAATTGACAAGCCCTCTTCTCGGCGTAGGGAATATCTCTCTGGATTAAGTGTGCCTAATGCTGCCGTTTGCTAGATGGGGGATGAAGACAGCAGGGCCAGAATGCAGCTGCACATCATTTGTATCCGAAATACCAGAGGCCAGCTGCCTGGCTGTAATGAAATTCCAGCAAGCCTTGTTGACATTCCAGAGGCATCGCCACAACGAGGTTAAATTATAAGTTGATGATGACAAGCAGACGCACAGGAAAATGTCAAAATTAGCATGGCTGAGCACAGGCACCCTCCTCCCTCCATCCTTGCTTCGGTACAGCCACTTTTCCCTCCTCTGTCCACACCCACCCCCAGGACCACCTAATCTCATGATTTGATGTTTAAGGGTATCACAGCAGGAACAAGTTTGTCCTGGTGGCTTCCTCTTTCTGTCTTACCTTTCTCCTTGGGCCGTCTGATGGAGTGAGAACAAAGCAGCCTTCTGATGAGTCAGTGACCTTGGACACGTCGCTGACCCTCCATGAGCCTCTGTTTGCTCATCTGTGCATTGAGGATAATTATGCCTTCCTCCTGGAGTAGCTGCGGATTGGATGAGCTCACATACGTACTTCACTGGGCACAGGGCTCAACAATGTCACTTTCCTCCCTGCCTTCCTTGGGCCCACGTGGGCTCTCCAGTTGGAAGAGAGCAGTTGGGAGGATGGAGCACAGGTGAGGTGGAAAACTAGGCTGGGCTCATACCAGGAGTCCATGCATGATGAAAATCCAGAGTTAGAATGTGGGATCAGGGCTGGGCAGGTTATTGTGGGAATGGGGACACAAGTCCCTGAGTATACAGCTGGACTCACTATATGAGACTATGGAAATAGAGGGTAGGCATTTCACAAGCAGCAGTCTGAGACTGAATTAGACCAAGTAACAGTCGGACCATTTCAAAGCACCTGTAGATGAATCATATTGTTAAACTCACTCAACAGTTATTTGAGAAAGGGATTAATACCCCATTTACAGATGATCTTGGATCTGCAAATGGGGTATTAATATATAAGGAGACCAGGGAAGGCTTCATTGAAAACGTGACATTCAAGCAGATGATCCAAGAGCGTCCATCCAATTTGGGGACAGAGAAATTTAAAAAGGGGACGTCTGAAGATAAGCAAAGGATCAGCCAGATTTCCAGTTGAGGAAGCCATCCAATGGCTAGAGATTTGGGGGTTACTGAGAAGAACTGGGGGAAATCTTCAACATGGTAACTTAAAAGGAGAGACTTACATTCCTGAGGATTAAATGTAGGCTGAGAAGTCCAGACAGCAAAGAACAGAGCCTTGTGGGATGACTTCATTCAATGAACAGGGGAAGAAGAGGAGAGATGCAGAGAAGGAAAAGACAGAAATGTAGGCAAACATCATTGACAGGGCAATAATGTGGGAACCAAACCAAAGAGAGGAAGCATCTAGGAGAGGAAATTATTAATGGGAACAGAGCAGAGAGATGGGATCAAGGTCTCCAGCTGAGTCAAACAGATTTTGGTAGGCTTGCCTGGAACTCTCTTTACTATTTATGACCTTGATTCCATGGGAGCATGAGTTATTAAATCCAAAAAATTGATGTGTCAAATTGATTTTCAGGTCCTGGCCCACTGAGACTTGTCAGCAATTTTTTTTCTTTTCTGTTCATGTCTTTGGCTCTGACTTTCCTAGAAAACAGATCATGACTTTGGGTTTCCTTAAATGAAAGTGGTTCAGATTACAGAGGTGGGTCTAGGACAAGGGATAGAAAGGAGGAGACAGGATGATAGAGGGAGAATATTAAGCCACCTTTCCCTGGAAGAGGACTAGACTGGGCCTCCACCCCAAGAGGCCCAACCCTTTATCTGGGCTCTGATCCCTGCTTCTGTTCAGGCTTTGCAATCCCATATCAGCAAAAGGGCTTCCATCCTGGGGAGAGAGAAAGGACCTACAGGGAAGAAAAGGAGACAGTCTCAATTAGGGTTAGTGGCCGAAACTAACTGAGGTCAACTTGCAAGCATGATTTCATGCATTCATTCATTCAACAAATATTTAGTGAGTGCCTGCCTTGTGTCAGACACTGTTCTGAGCACTGACAATATACCAATGAATAAAGCAGACACAGATGCCTGGCCTCGTGGAACTTACATTCTAGTGGGGAGAGATGGCCAACACATCACATAAATAAGTAAATTAGATGATACAATTGTTAAAACATGATAAGGTACTATGGAGAAAAATGAAGCAGGAGAGGAAGACAGGAAAAGCTGAGGGATGAGGGTGGGGCTTCAAGTTTATATAGGGAGACCAGGGAAGGCGTCATTTAAAAGGTGACATTCGAGCAGGCTTGTAGGACTTAGACACAGATGTGAATGGATGGATACTGGGCAATTCACAAAATCACAACTAAGGCTAAAATAGGTGTGGCCTCACAAAGAAGAGGAATCAGGAACCTCTGAGTATCTAGGATGGAGGAATTCATGGGCACTGTCTTTGTGGCAGGGCTCTATGGACGGATGGATGGATGGATGGATTCCTATCACCTAGCGGCACTCAATTCAAGTCAGTGTCTAGGAAAAGAGAAGCTGGTTGGACTTGCCTAAGTCTCCTGTCCACCTGTTGGGCAGCATACCTTGATGGATACCACCACTGAGACTGCATGCCGCCGGATGGAGGGTGGCTGCCCAAGGAAAAATCCAGGCATAGGGCTGGGGTGCCAGGCGGGCAAAGCCAGCTGAGGTTGTACACACATACATACACACACATAAGCACAATGGCTGCTGGAGTAAGGCACCAAAGAGAAGTGAGCTCAGAGATCTTTGAATCTGCTTCCTTAAGGTTGGAGCTGGAGACCCTGAGACTTGGGAATTGGGAAGGAATTACTCATGGTCACCTATTCAGGAAAGGGGAAGTTTGGTAATAGACTTCCAAGCCAGACTGCTTTCCACTTCCCAGAGCTTCCAGAGAACACAGGAGGTCTGAGGAGAAAGAAACCTAAGAAAGCATCTCACGGAATCGTCTCATTTCCCAGCTGAAGAAACTGAAGCCAGGAAGAAGACTGAGTGAGTGGGGATTAGTGGACAGTAAAAGGCAGGAGATTTTGGAGGACAGAGTAGAAGGTGGAAAATCAGAACTTTCCTTCTCCTGGACCAGGTGAGAGGATGATGCACGGAGATGTCTTAAGCAAATGTTTAGAACTCTCCTGAGGTAAGGGGAATAGGACTGGCAAGGCATCCCTGAGGTCCAGTGCAACCAAGCAGGCCCTGTTAGGTGTCCTTTGCTCCACAGGAAACACCCCAAGGATCACAGCAAATACTCTTACCCAGAGGAGAGCCTGTTAGCAATCTAGGCCAAATCCTATTTGCTTTCATAAGCCTGTGTGTAAACGATGGGCTGCGGCTCATGTCCCATGGCAGCCTGATGGGGTGAGTGAGCAGGACCAAACCACTCCTCTCTGTGTCTATATGTTCAGGAGGTCACTTGATTCAAAGTCAAATACACCCAGAGTAGAGGGAGAGCTGCAGAGCTCCATTTGGTGTGAACACTGTAATTGAAAATTAGAGCACTCCTGCCTACCAAATCTTCACTCTGGAATTTGCATCCCTGCCCTGCTGGGCAGTGAGAAAAGCACTCAGTTGTCCAAGTCTGGGCTTATTGCTACTGGAGGAAGCCTGGTTTGGCCATTCTGCTAGGGCTCTTTAAGTACAGCTTCTATCCTCTCCACCCACCCCCAACAATGGCAGCTTGCCTCCATCTGCACCTGAATGGGAAACTGGGAACCACAGCCCCTCTGTTGATGTCTCCACTGGGTTGTGCTGGCTGCTCTCCCTAGATCCTAAATCCTTGGCTTCTAGCATCTGCTTCTGATCCCTTCAACTGAGTAACCCTTGGCCCTTCAGTAGCTTCTGGGATTTGGACTACAATTCAGAGCTGAGCTCTGTGTGTTCCAACTCAGTCTCTGCAGAGAACGTTTCTGCTCCTGCTTCCAGCCCAGAAACTCTAGCAGCCAAGCCCAAGAGACGATGCAGAGATTCAGATCACTCCCTCTTCGGGTAGAGATTCCCTCACTGTGGGTGTGCCACATTCAGGGCTGGCTCCAGGCATAACTCTGACACTGACCACCTGACCTGGGTTAGTTCTGTCAGCACATCCCTCTTTCAGTCTCAGGCTCTAATTTGCACAGAAGGAAACTGTGACTCAGAGAGGGAGGAAGCTGGGCAAGGTTCGTCTGCATCTGTAGTCACCTTTTCTCCAGTGCTAGCTGGCTGGGACTCTTCATTGTCTACGATGGGGCCCAAGTTCCCACAGTGTGTTATGAGACCTAAAGCTTGTGTTAACACGATTATTCTTCACCAAAAGTGACCTGTGTTCTCTTCTTGAGGATTAGCCGTGTGGCAGGAGCTAGTCTATAAACTAATCCTTAGTAAGGCGTGATGTCTGATCACAGACAACTAATTGAGCTTTTCACGCCTTAGCTTGAGGGAGTGGAAGGTGCAAATTTCAAGCAGTAAAGGAGTTTTGGATTGTTTTGTTTTGTTTTGTTTTTCCAAACAGAGAATGCTTCTTGATGCTCCTTAAAGCATGCTGTATAGTCAGAAACCACGTAGCTGGACCAGTCCGACACAAAGAACCAGGGGACCATTAATCTAAGCCTAGAGATCACTGGAGCTCTGGGCAATGCTGACCTTTGTTTGTTTCTAAGGAAAGAGAAACTACTATTTAGAGTTTAGAGCCCACAGAGATACTGAGTGTGAGTATTTTTCTATTGTCCTTCCTGTCATGCATTCAGTAAATGAATCAATCGTCAAAGGTACATTGGTCACCTACTGTATGTCAAGTTCTTTTTTGGGACATTTGGGGGATTCACAGATGGACACGGCATGACTCTCCATCCTTAAGACATCATGTGACATGTTTGGTAAGTCAGCTGTATAATGTTGATGACATTAATAATATTAACTTAACATTTGTTAGTCTATAGTTTATAGTAGTTCCCAACATTATTCAGCCTTTGAAGACTTTGTTTCTCCTCTGTAAGGAGGAGGTGGTGAGATCATTAATCCCCCAGCCCACATTGTTGGCAAAATCACCTGAGGTTACAAATGGGAAAGTACTTGGTAACTCTAAGAACCCTGAGCCTGGTGGTTATTATTATTTCTGTTGTTTTTCTCAGTCTCGGAAAATAATTATTACTAATGTCAGCAGAATCACAGCTTCTATTTACATGAAGACAGGCCAAGAATTTCAATCCCTTGTCCCTCTCCCAATTAAATCATGGATGCAGATTGCTCTAAATCCATCACAAGGTCTAGGTCTGAAGATCCAAGTTTGAGTCCCAGCTCTGTATAATCCTATCAAAGCCTCTTAATCTCTTTGGGTTATAATTTTTTTTCACAAATACAGATGAGATAGGTAGATTCGTAGGTAGAAAATGTTCTAATTCTGTATTTGTGTGTCCTTACATGTATATGGGCATGTCCTGACACAACCTTGCATTTCCAGAGAGTTCATTCCAGCAAAAGTCATCCCTTGCTTCTTCCCCACCTTTCTTATCTTCAGAGGAATTTTAATTATGCATGTGAATGGGAGGGCGGGGACAGGGACTCACAAACTGTCACTTTCAGGAGCTGGTGTGTGAGTGTATGTAAGTGTAGGCATTTGTGTGTCTGCATATGTGTGAAATGTTCTCCTTGCTGCCTTTAGACTTGCCATTGCTCTTCTCCCGGTGCCAAATATTCTCTCAAGCCTTCTAAAGGTTGCAGCAGGGGCCAGGCCAGAGAACAGAGTTTTCTCTGCTTCTGCTTGGTGCTTTATCGTGTTTTGACCAGGTAAGCTGCAGCATTGACAACCCAGAAAACAAAGGCAGGAGAGGTGGTGTGCTGCTAGCACAGCTGGCTTGGAGCCCCACTGCCCGTCTTTGGTTTCTGTGCTCAGCCAGCTTCTGTGTTTGACTGTGAATCATTTCTGCTGGAGGACTGCATGTCACTGATTGCCCTTTGAGTGGTGTGCATTGCACAGGCATCCTGGAGGGAAGCATAAAGAAATGGGAGTGGAGGGAGCAGCCCAGAGGAGAAACACAACCCTGTCATGCCCGAGTGTGGCTTCTCGGATTTGAAGGATGATAGGTATAGCAAAGGGAGGCTGGCTCTCTCTTTTGCAGGACTGAAGGGCGATGAATCTGCTGTCAGCACGAGTGACTCAGGACACCTGGGTTTGTTCTGAGCATCTCCCCTGGCCTGTTGGAGGAAGATTTCTCAGCCTCCACTTCTCCCCCACCTTTCACCGGATGCCACCAGGGTTAATGATGAAAGCAAGTAGTTTGGAGTCAGCCTTGATGGCTTTCCCTGCTGGCTCTGCATGTGCTCACCACATCTCTTAGGATAATTGCATAGTCTCAATGAGTGCTTACAACTCTTCACAAAAACTCCTTGTTGAGTTAGCCTTAAATCTCCCTGGCTCTGTGTTAGGGGTTGGTCTGATAAATCCTCCTCCTTGGCCTCTGGGACCCAGATTGGAGTGCAGGCCGCTGGAGCTCAAGCTGCCTAACTTCCCTGTCTTGTGTGGTCCCCATAGTCCAACTGTGATGCCACAGCTGCTGCTTAACTTCCTCTGCCTATAGCTCAGGGCTTGGCTCAGCAGGGGAGCAACATGTTTCACAGCTGGGTGTGGGCACTGCCTGTCTCTGGGATGTGTTCCAAGCACAGCATTCGACTAAGCAGAGACCAAGGAGAGCATGGCCTGGTCAGGATGCATCCACAGCTCCAGAAGTTTAAGTGGGGTGCTGCCTGGGCTTCGAGGATGAGGAAAGGTATCCAACTACCCCACTGGTTCTCAACTGAGGGCGACTTTGCCACCCAGGGGACATTTGATAATGTCTGGAAACAAGCTTTGTTGTCATAATGAAAGGTGCTACTGGCATCTAGTGGGTAGAGGCCAGGGATGCTGCTAAACATCCTACAATCCACAGAACAGCTCCCTACAACAAAGAATTAATGAGCCCAAAATGTCAATAGTTCAGAGACTGAGAAACACTGCTAGCCTCAGAACTGCTGAGGAAACAGGCACGTTGAGATAAACAGGACTTTGCATTGCTAGATCCTAATGGTACTGGCAGCTGTGTGGTATAAGTGATCTTGGACTATGAGTGGGCCTTTCCTTCCCCTCTTCCCCCAGACCCCTAGCCCAGTGTGGAAAGTTACATATCAGAGGCCTAGCGAGGCAGCTGCTGTTGGTGCCTCACCTGTATCCCCTTGGCACTCACCGTGGCAGTAGCTGCCGATGGCATTCTAGAACAAACAGTTGGGACTCTCCACTTCTCTGCCCCAGGGCTTTCTCTCAGCCCACAAGCAGGACAGAGCAGAAGTGCCCTGGAGTTCCTGCCCCCAGGAATGGCCCTCAGTCATTGATGATGGGAGCTGGAGAATAGGTACAGCTCCCGTCCCTCAGGTGAGACAACCCTGCAGCATATCCACATTGTCGCCCAGAGACCCCAGTGGGACGGAGCCCCAATTGTCCACAATAGTAATGGGCTTATTAATGCACCCTGCATTGCTTCCTGCCCTCCCCTTTCTCATTCCCCAGATCCTCTGCTGATGTTACTTGGGACCACCTCGCAGATAGACTACTTCATTCCTTGTCACTGAGTCTGCCTGTGGGACAGCCTAGCCCAAGAGAAGCAGCCATATCCCTGTGGCTGCAGGAACTAACATCGTCTGTACTAGGTTATGTATTTACTCATTTGCTTACATCATCCATTCATTCATCCATTTGGTGAGCCCGCAACATTTACTGGGCATCCACTATGTACCAGAAATCGAGAATGTCATACTCACATAGAGAAGGAAAAACTGAGACTCTGAGATAAACCTGCACTTCTTCAAAGTCCCCCAAAAAGTGAAGGACCAAAACTAGAATATAAAGTCAAATGCATCTTATGCCTATTCTTACTACTGGTTGTTTCTCAACAGGCCATGCTTGTAATTACTTGGAGAGTTTTAAGTAAATACAGATGTCTGAACCCCACTCCAGAATCAATTATTATCTCTAGGACTGGGGCCCTGGCCTCTGTGCTTTTTTTAAAGCTCACTGCCATCCGCCCCCCACACATTGTCTGACTCAGGATGCAGCAAGTGAGAGGAATGGAGGCTCTTCTGTAACTGCGGCTGAAACTAAAGGCTGACCACCCTTCACCACCTGTCACAAGCCCCCTATCCCCTTGGGGAAGTTGGCATCCTGTGGGGCAGGCCAGCTCCCCGTTGTTGTCTTAACATCTTTGCTGAGTCATCTTGCCAAATTCCACCTAGGCAGGCTGTGCTGTGGTTTCACTGCTTGTTTTATGGTTGGGGTTTCCTGTCCTGCCATATGGTGAGTCCCTGTAAGGCATGGCGGTAATGGGGCCGCACACTGGCAGATGGGCGCTTCCTGACCCAGAAGCCCAACGGAGCTGAAGCCCCCTACTTCACTCTCACCTCTACCTGCTCCCTGGAAGGATCAGAGATTGAGGTATTTCAGGCTAAATATAGAGGCAGGCCATTAAGAAACAACATCTCCTCCCCCCTCCCCAATCTCTCCGGGCTTTCCATGTGATGGTTTAATTGCTCCTGCAATCTGTTCTGTTTCTCCCTTGCAGTGCGGGAAAAGCAGCAGCCACAGCCCATGGTGAGAAGCTGCTTTCAGAGATGGGAACAGCTTTTAAGAGGAAGAAGGAAGCTTCAGGTCTCAGAACACAGTTGCAGGCGGGCTTTATTTTTAGAGGTCTCCACAGAGATTCTGCCCCCTGTTCAGGGCTCACCAGACACCAGGCCTGGCTTTGGAATTCGGAGTTTGGGGGAAGGCACCATTTTATTCGGATCAGTGTAGCAGGAAGGGCACTGGGCTTAAAGTCAGGCAAACTTGTGAGAAAGTCATTTAACCTTAAGGACAGGAAATGCCACTCACTTTGGCAACATGGGGATGAGGAGGAAGGGAGGGAGCATAGTAGATGGCACACAGTAAGCCCAGAGTGTGGGTCTGCCACCGTTGGCACAATACGGGTATTGACAAGAGTCTTGGGCTCATTAGTTGTGTGGCCTTGGTTTTCACATCTGTAAAATGGGGGTAATAATAGCAGCTGCTTCCAGGACTGGCTACATAGTTTGCAGGGCCCAGGAAAGAATGAAAATGTGAGGCCCCTAATTGAAAAAGCTTTAAAAATTTCCACACAGTGAGAGCAGAATATTAAACCAGGCATAGGAGCACAGCCTTCTGAGCACAGGGCCCTGTGCAACTACATAGGTTTCACATCTTGTCTACTCACAGGAGTGTGGTGAGGAATTAATGAGACACTGCATGTCAAGTGCTTCTGACACTGGCAGCTTTTATTACTACTACTAATTAAGCATCAGATATACTGTTGGAAGCAGTGTTACCCATTTTGCTATGGTGTGTATTAGAGGGAGAAACAGATTGAAATGCAATTTCATGGTGTCTCCAATGGCAAGCTATAGTTAGGACTTTATAAGGTAACAATGGGGTGTAACCGAAGACTTTTGAGCACCTTCAAAGTTGTGTTTAAAAATTTGGATCAGGCCAGGCGTGATGGCTTACACCTGTAATCCCTACACTTTGGGAGGCTGAGGGGGTGTATTGCTTGAGCTTGGGAGTTCAAGACCAGTCTGGGCTATGTGGTGAAACCTCATCTTTACAAAAAATAGAAAAGTTAGCCATGCATGGTGGTGCATGCCTGTAGTCCTAGCTACTTGGGAGGCTGAGGTGGAAAGATTGCTTAAGCCTGGGAGGTTCAGGCTGCAGTGAGCTGAGATTGCACCACTGTACTCCAGTGTAGACCACAGAGCAAGACCCTCTCTCTCTCTCTCTCTCTCTCTCTCTCAGAAAAAAAGAAGAATTCTAATCAGAACATTGTGTGGGTAACAGGGAATAGGGGTTGAGGGGCTTGCTGAAGAGAGGGCACTGCCTGAATATGAGTATTGTGGGAAAGTAAATAAATAAATGGAGACACCAAAGAAATTCCTCCTGGGTGACTGAAGAGAGGTGCTATGTATAAACACAGGGAACCAGGAAAAGGGGAGTTGGGGTGGAGCGAGTTGCTTTTGGTGACATACAGTGTGAGGTGTCAGTGGGATGGATATAAAACAGGACACTAGAAACAGGGGAGCACAGCCCACATTTGGGCTAGAAGGAAGACTGGGGTGGGTGCGTGAGGTCATGGAGACCTGTATGGAAACAACTGATGTACCAGAATAGATAAAATTATCAGTGCAAAGCACATTTCCAGATTGCGGAAGCTAGGGATAAAATAGAGCCGGAAATCAACTATGTATAAAATTAGCAAGTGAAGCTGAGAGGCTTGAACTGATCTGAGAACAGAAGGAGTCAAAGAAGCAGCATTCCTGGAGAAGATCTTGACCCTCTATGATCCTTAATCTCTTCATCTGTAAAATGGGTACAGTGTCATCCAACCCACAGTGTTGATGAAAGGGTAAAGTGAGAACATGTGTGTAAACTACTTCTCGTACTATATCAGGTGTGTAGTTAGTGAACAACACAGGGTAATCCTCTTCTTGCTTTAACTCCTGATTCTTGGATCTTTTTAGTGAGTTACATTCTATGATGTTGCCAGTTTTTATGGCGGTTCAGATATGTTTGTTTTCATAATGAATATGGTATTATGTAAGTTACTTTACATACATTATCTCCTGTTAATCCTCATAGAATTCTGCATGGAATAGTGCTATTTCCATTTTATGGATGGGATGCTCCGAGACGTTAGGCAATTTACCCAAGGTCACACAGCTACAGAACGACATGGTAGAATTCCAACTCAGACCTGCCTCCTTCCAAAGCCCATGCTATCCTCTTTATTTAGCAAAAGCAAGACAGGCAAGACAAATCACCCAAAAGAGCTCCCCTTCACAAAGGCTGGCTCCTCTCCTGTATACCTGCTAACAATGCCATCTGCACAGGTACTCAGATGGAGACCAGGGAACACCTTGTTGTACAGAATTGTTCATTGTGGGTAATTTGCTATCTTCATGTTACTAAAATACCTTGAACAGTAGCCCATGTACAGTGGCTTGGGTTCTTCCTCTCTATCCAGAACCTGCATAGTGAGGGCCTTGGCAGGCTGGCATCTTTCCAGCATTGCAGAGGAGGAGGAGAGCACCGGCAAGTGGTCTGAGCTGGAAGGAGGGGAGCTGAGCTCTGTTCCTCCAACCCACTGCTCCCCTTGGGCTAGTCCCTTCCCTGGCATGAAAGGAAGGTGGCCTAAATGCTCTCACAGGATTCCCCAGATCTCCTGCTGCTTCCCCAGGTGGTGGTCAAGGTGAGAAAATACGACAAGAAGCAGTAGAGTGTGGTTCATCAAGAGTGTGGTTCATCAAGAGTGTGCATGCTGGAGCCAGTCTGCCTGGGAATGGATCCAGGCTCTGTCACTTCCAAGCTTTGTGACCTATGGTATGTTACTTGGCCTCTCTGTGTCTTGCTTTCCTCCTCTTTAAAATGGAAAGAAAAGAATACCTATTTCACAAGGAAGGGAGCTAGTACAGATAAGTGTTCTTCATTACTTTCACTGTTTATTGTTGTCATTGTTGTATGGGAGGCCAGACCAACCTGAAAAGATGCCACTTCCTCATGAAATCTGTTCTCATCTGTGACTCTTGGATTATACCCATCCTTTCATACTTGGCCTTGTATGACAATTATTCAGGAGGCTGACTTACCTTTTTGATAGGCTGGGAACCCTGCGAGTTGTGGCTTCACGTTTATTCTCCAGGCTTCACACTATGTAATTAAAAAAAGAAAAAAATATCCACAGTGGACTATAAAGGGCAGGAACTTTAGAGTCAGCAGTATTCAATACAAATCCTAGCTCTGCCATTTACCAGCTGTTTGATCTGAGGCAAGTCACTTAACCCCTCTGAACCTTGATTTGCTCATCTATAAAGTGGTATATCAGCACTTTTCCCATGAGCTAGTACATGGACATGTTTGACTCATCATGGGCATTCAATAAGAGCCATCTCCCATCCTTTCCTCTTTCTCATTTTTCACCACCCCATAGAATGTTGGTCACTAAATACATTTTGAAAGGGGTATGGAAAGTGAGATTTGGAGGCTCTTGGAACTCCCTGTTCCCCGAATACTCACCCAGCCACCAGTGTAGGGATGAGGTCCGTGAGCACTTTGCCCTGTTAGCCAAGAATTAAACACTTCTCTCTTGGAAATCGTAAGCTGGAAGCGAAACTGAGGTCAAGAGAAGAACAGCAACTTTCCCCAAGGCCACAGCAGCAGAACAAGAAGCTCTATGTTCTGACTCCAGCCTCAGTTCTCTTTCCACCACCGCAGGCAGCTGCCTTCAATGGAATGAGGTCTCACTCTAAGCTATTACCAACAAACTTCCCTTTCAAATGAAAGAAGAAAGTTCTGGAAACAATCTGAGGGATATGTGACCAGATGGGGTATAGCAGCAGAGTGGGTGGTGGTTGGGAGATTCTGTCAAGAGGAACTGGGCTTCTAATGACACGAGGATGAAAGTGAAAGAAATCAACAACTTCACCTACTTCCTGGTTTTGCAGCATGGTATCACCTGTCCAGAAGGGAGGTTCTCACTCAGCCACCTTGCGGTGTGAAAAGGATGATGAAGCTTTCGGTTATTTCCTCATTTTACCGTGGTCCTTGACTCTGAGGGACTGGGAGTCCTTTGTAGCCAGGGAATATGTAAGACTATTGAATGTTCTTACCAGGCCAATTTAGAGAGGTCTAATGTCTGATTCCACCACCACTCGCCAACTATCTAAACTTGAGCTGATCTGAGCTCAGATTGTTCCTATGGGGTAGAGGGGTGAGGCCTGCTCTGCCAATCTTGTCAGGTTGCTGGATGTGTGATAGACTTATGGAGTCAGAAAGTCAAAGTTGGAGTTGGCTGTACAGGCATCTACTGAAAGTAACAAATTGGTTTCATCTAACACGTTCATGCCAGCCAACGGGTAGTGGTTTCCGGGGACAGATTCTGAAGCCTCACCTGGGCATAGCACAAAGAGTGTGGTGATCAATTAATGATGGCTGCTATGAGCACAGCAATGGGGAGTTGGGCCCTGCCTGCTCCACAATTTTCTTTTCTGAGTTCATCTCACAGTTTTATCTTACAAAGGAGACTGAAGCTCAAAGAAAACAAATGACTTCGTCAAAGTCATCCAGTGGCAGACGTGGTCTCAGTCCCAGATTTCCTAATGCCAAATTTAGCAATCTTTCTTTTAAGAAAGTTGTCTGCTGTGAAATACTTTACAAATGTAAGAATGTCTTATCATCTTTCTGTTGGCCTTTGTTTTCCTGAAAGTCAGTCACTTCAGTCCTCCTGATTGGCTCCATGAACTAAAGACTCATGTTTGTGAAAACCCTCAGAACTCCCCAATGACAAGACATGCTGAGTTTAATGGTTTCATTCAGACAACGATAAAATTATGACAATGATGGTGATATATATTATACATATTATTATACATTATATGGAACATACATAATATATAATATAACAATAGCATAACTTAAGCACCTGTTACGTGTGAAGTACAGTAGCAGGAGCTAGCCTGCTTTCTTCTCAATTCTGTCCAATGCATATTTCAGTCACTTCCCCTCTCTGAGCTTCAGTTTTCTCATCTGAATAATGAAAGCCCAAGAACAGATGCTTCCTTTTTGTGCTGACATTTTTCTCTCTGTGCTTCATATTATCAGCACCTACTCTGCGTCCAGAAATGGGGAAGGAGCATGGGACAGAAATGAAAATGTGAATACTTGGTTCTGTTCTCCTAAGCCACTCACCCTATTCTTCAGGAGGCAAGACAATGGGACCCAATGCACCCAGAAAACAGCGGTGCAACATAGACAGCAGTGGACTAGAAATGAGATGAGGAGGCTGCGAGATGGGAAGGGGGCTGGTAGAAGTGTAGTTGGGAGCAGAGTCTGGGCACGAGTCCAGGCTGGAAGCCTGACTCCTGCAGTTATGAGCTGTGCAACCTTGGGGCAAGTGGGTGCTATACACCTCTCTAGATCTCAGTGTTCTTATCCTTAAAACTGAGCTCCTCTTACATATGTTTCCGGGAACCTGGGAGGCGGAGAGATCACAAGATGTGCACACAGTCTTATCCTTAAAACTGAGCTCCTCTTACATATGTTTCTGGGAACCTGGGAGGTGGAGAGACCACAAGATGTGCACACAGTCCGTGAACAAAATAGCTGACACCTCAAGTAGAGATGTGGCAAGGAGTGAAGTGAAAAGAAGTTAGAAAGGGAGGGGGATGCAGAATCTGTAGTTGTTGAGGAAGGCTTCCTGTAGGAGGTAGCTTAAGGTCAGCCTCAAGAAATATATTAGTTTGGGTTGGGAGACATGACACTAGTCATTTTTCACTAAAAATGGTTTTCTCCTCTTTGGCCCCCATCTGTGCCTCTTTGGAATGGAGCATGAATATTAAGCACATTTTTCATACACTTCGAAGAAAACTAGACAGTGCAGGCAGTGGCCCGGTGAATCTCTTACATATTTAAACAGCATCCTGTTGATTTGAGGTGGAGTCAGCTGAGCCTTGGTTTTTCTGTCTCAGTAGCCCCCAGTACAAGCTGACATGAGCACTTTATTCCTGTGAGCACTTTATTCTTGACCCAAAATGATAACAGAAGAGACACCCCACATTCTACACACCATGCAAAACGTTGTGCTGTTTACAAGGCATTAGAATAGCTTCAGAATTCACTGTGGCTCTGGGATGAAGAATGGACTGAGCCAGCTTTTTCTCTCCCTGGAACATCTACCTCCCCATCCATCCTGCTATTGGGCCATTCATCCTTGGGTATTTGAGCATCTACTATGTACCAGGCACTATATTCTTTCAAGGCTCCATTCAGATGTCACCTCCCCCAGGAGGCCTTTGTTGATACACACCCCTGCCTCAGCTGGGCTCAAAGCTCCTCCTCCATGTTCCAAAGAACCCTATGTTTATTACTTATCTTCCCAAGTTTTATCTCTATGCCTCCTTCCTCATTTGACTGTGGGCTCCTTGGTCTCTTTCACTAGCAAATGGTAGAGTCTCAGATGGTGTTTGCAGGCCCACAGAACTGGACTTGTTCATGGGCTTGCATTCTGGGATGGGAGTAGGCATTGAACACATGGCGGCAAGTGGGCTGAGTGTTAGAAGAAGGAGTCCATGTCAGGACTCTGCATGGAGTCCTGACAGTGAAAGGCCAGCCTCTTCTGGAACCAAGGAATTCCTACTTGATGATGTGAGTTTTAAGCTGATATTGAAGGATTTGTAGCTGTTAGGTAGCTTCCTGAGTTGGCTTCTCCCTAGCTGGTTCTTACTTCTTCCCAGGGCTACAGTTTGGAAAGTGGAGATGGAGGTTGGAAAGCAACTGTGGAGAGAAATGTTGGGTTCTGAGCTTCCATGACACCTTCCCACCTGAAGGGGCAGCCAGGGCTACCTGACTCCCTTTGGTTGACTTGTTTCCTCCCTCCCAAATATGTCCTTTATGCTACACAGCAAGGCAAGCAGGTGGGCTTTTTGAAATTCTTCCTTGGTCTGAGCAATCATCACCTGAGAAGGCAATTATGCAAATCACTCCGTGATCTTCCCAGAACAGCAAGCGTGCTCTGGAGAGAAAATCCAAACAGTAAACACCTCTTTGGCTGCCCCTGTGAGGACAATGCAGGCACCTTGTTTGAGGAGCACCCATTACTATGCAGCTCAGCTTCAGCCAGGTGGAGTTGGAGGACAGAATTTCCCGTGATACTCTGTCAGTTCCCGGGGACATAAGCTCAGGATGAGCTCTCTGCTCCATTCTAGCCTCCACCACTGACTGTGATGGACCTGTTCAGGATCCACCAGTTAAGGGCCTGTCTTCTGCCCCCATCATCCCTGCTGGGTCCTGCAAAATGCTGAGGCTTTGTCCTACATGAGCAGCATAACTGTGTCCTGAAGCAGTGCCCCTGCCCCTGCCAATAGCTGCACATTCCTCTTATGCACTTGGTTCATGGGCTGGGGTGTCTCTTTAAAGATACTTTTTCTAGCTTTCATCAAAGCCGGTCAAATTCTTTTGGTTCTTCCGTTCTCAGTTTCCACATAGAGTTTCCTTCCTTTCCCTTCCCTGTTCCTTTCTCTTACTAGAGTTACCACCTTGGCCTGGGCATTGATCACCTTATGCGTAGCTGGCTGACCCAAAGGTCTCAGACCTAATTTAGATCTCCTCCACTTCCACGTACTTAGGGTTGCCTGCATTATTTATCTCATTCAGGTATTCAACAAATATTTATTTGTTGGGTCTCTATTCGCGTCCTAGTGATAGCGTGGAGATTAGAGCAGCACCTATCTGACTCTTGCAGAGGCTTATATTCTGGGGTAGGGGCAGGCATTGAACGCCTGGCTGCAAGTGTGCTGAGTGTTAGAAGGTAGAACTGCTGTGGAGCCCTGGCAGTGATAGGGTGAGTTTTAAGCTGATATTGAAGGAATCGTAGGACTTAGGTAGGTGAAGCATGCTCAAGGAAGAGGACAAATGCCTGAAGCAGGAGACAATGGTACATTCTAGAAACTTAAAGTCCAGTGTGGCCAGAATATAAATTGGGAGGAAAAGTGGCTCATGCTGAGGCCAGAGATCAGCAAGGTCCTGACTACTGAAGGCTCTCAAACCATGGTTAAGGAGTTTAGGTTATATCCTGAGAGCAACAGGAAACTTTTGAAGAGTTTTAACAGAGCTCACAGTTCTCCATGGGTGTAATGGTCCAGGATCAATCTCCAATCAAACATTTAGGCATGAAACTCGTTCATCTATGTACATACATTAGTCAGGACTCTTTCAATTTCTGGCAATGAAAACTCAACTCAAAGTGGTTTGAGAGAAAGGACATGTATTGGTGCAAGGACTGAAGCATACAGGCAGATCTAGATTTAGGGGCTCAAATGTCCCTCTCCATCTTTTGGGTCTGGTATCCTCTGTGTTGGCTCCATTCTCAGGCTCTGTTCATGAGAAGGCAGAGGTGGCTGCTGGCAGCTGCGGGCTAACACTTCACTGCAGCAGTTTCCACAGCAGAAAGACAGTGACACTTGCCTAATAGTGTCATTAAGAGCCTTGGCATTGACTGAATTTATCCCACTTGTGTCAGATGCTCATTCCTAAACCAACAACTGGAGCTAGGGTGAACTATGCTGATGGATCAGGCTGGATCACGCACCCATCCCTGGATCTGGGCAGTGTGATTAGCATAGGCAAAGCCCATTGACCAAGAGTAGAAGAGCAGTGGGTGACAAAAAGGAGACTTTGGGCTATATCACTGGAAAGTTGAGCAATGAGTGCTGGAACACCATATGCAAGAACAGCAGGCATGATGGTTAACATTGTATCTACGAAGTAACTAACTTGCTTTTGATTGGATTGAAGGATGCAAAGTATTGTTCCTGGGTATGTCTGTGAAGGTGTTGCCAAAAGAGATTAACATTTGAGTCAGTGAACTGGGAGAGGCAGACCCACCTTTGATCTGAGTGGGCACTGTCTAGTCAGCTGCCAGCATGGCTGGAATAAGGCAGGAAGAAGCTGGAAGGACTTGCCTTGCTGAGTCTTCCAGCCTTTATCTTTCTCCCATGCTGGATGCTTCCTGCCCTTGAACATCAGACTCCAAGTTCTTCAGCTTTTGGACTCTTGGACTTATACCAGTGGTTAGCCAGGGGCTCTCAGGCCTTTGGCCACAGATCGAAGACTGTACTGTTGGCTTCCCTACTTTTGAGATTTTGGGACTCGGACTGACTTCCTTGCTCCTCAGCTTGCAGATAGCCTATTGTGGGACTTCACCTTGTGATTGTCTGAGTCAATACCCCTTAATAAACTCTCCATCACACATACAGCTGTCTTATTAGTTCTGTACCTCTAGAGAACCCTGATTAATACAGTAAATTGGTACCAGGATTAGGGTGCTGCTGTAAAGATACCCAAAAATGTGGAGGCAACTTTGGAACTAACAGGCAGAGGTTGAAACAGTTTGGAGGGCTCTAAAGAAGATAGGAAAATGTGGGAAAGTTTGGAACTTCCTAGAGTCTTGTTAAATGGCTTTGACCAAAATGTTGATAGTGATATGGACAACAAAGTCCAGGCTGAGGTGGTCTCAGATGGAGGTGAGGAACTTAGAAATGGAGCCAGGGTGACTCTTGTTATGCTTTTGCAAAGAGACTGGTGGCATTTTTTCCCTGCCCTACAGATCTGTGGAACTTTAAACTTGAGAGAGATGATTTAAGGTATCTGGCAGAAGAAATTTCTAAGCGGCAAAGCATTGGAAAGGTGACAGAGTATAAAAGTTTAGAAAATTTGCAGCCTGACCATGCAGTAGAAAAGAAAAACCCATCTTCTGGGGAGAAATTCAAGCCAGCTGCAGAAATTTGCATAAATAACGAGGAGCCAAATGTTAATCACGAAGATAATAGGGAAAATGTCTCCAGGGTGTATCAGAGACTTTTGTGGCAGCCCCTCCCATCACAGGCCAGGAGGCCTAGGAGGAAAAATGCTTTCATGGACTGGGTCCAAGACCCCCTCTTCAGTGTGTAGCCTCTGGACATGGTGCCCTGCATACCAGCTGTTTCAGCTCTAGCCATGGTTAAAAGGCGCCAAGGTACAGCTCAGGCCATTGCTTCAGAGGGTACAAGCCCCAAGCCTTGACAGCTTCCATGTGGTGTTGGTCCTGTGGTTGCAAAGAAGACAAGAATTGAGATTTGGGAACCTCCTCCTAGATGTATGGAAATGCTTGGATATCCAGGCAGAGGTGTGCTGCAGGGACAGAGTCCTCATGGAGAACCTCTGCTCAGGCAGTGCAGAAGGGAAGTGTGGGGTTAGACCCCCCACACAGAGTTCCCAATGGGGCACTGCCTAGTGGAGCTGTGAGAAGAGGACCACCATCCTCCAGACCCCAGACCCCTCCAGACTGGTAGATCCACTTACAGCTTGCACTGTGCACCTGGAAAAGCCGCAGACACTCAGTGCCAGCCATTAAAGCAGCCAGGAGGAGAGCTGTACCTGCAGAGCCACAGTTGAGGGGCTGCCAAGGAGCCCACTTCTTGCAACAGCGTAACCTGGATGTGAGACATGGAGTCGAAGGATATCATTTTGGAACTTTAAGGTTTAATGACTACCCTATTAGATTTTGGACTTGCATGGGGCCTGTAACGCCTTTGTTTAGGCCAATTTTTCCCTTTTGGAATGAGTGTATTTACCCAATTCCTTCACCCCTATTGTATCTACAAAGTAACTAACTTGCTTTTGATTTTACAGGCTCATAGGCAGAAGGAGCTTGCCTTGTCTTAAATGAGACTTTGGATTGTGACTTCTGAGTTAATGCTGAAAGGAGTTAAGACTTTGAGGAACTGTTGGGAAGGCATGATTGGTTTTGAAACGTGAGGACATGAGATTTGGGAGGGTCCAGGTGCGAAATAATATGTTTGGGTGTGTCCCCACCCAAATCTCATCTTGAATTGTAGTTCCCATAATCCCCATGTGTCATGGGAGAGACCTGGTGGGAGTTAATTGAATCATGGGGGTGGATTTTCCCATGCTATTCTCATGACAGAGAATAAGTTTCACGAGATCTGATGGTTTTATAATGGGTAGTTCCCCTGCGCACATTCTCTTGCCTACTGCCATGTATGATATGCCTTTGTTACTCCTTTGCCTTCTATCACGATTGTGAGGCCTCCCTAGCCGTGTAGAACTGTGAGTGCATTAAACCTCTTATCTTTATAAATTACCCAGTCTCAGATACGTCCTTATAACAGTGTGAGAACAGGCTAATACAGCAAGTGTCTACTACATAAATCCTCAAGAGACCTTCAACTCCAGTCAGGCTAGATTCCATATTCTGTGGACCCCAAGGACATGTTGCTTCTCTTCTCTTCTAAGTCTTTGTGCTTGAGGTTGCCTGGAAAGAAATGCACCTGGATTAGAGAAGATAGTTTTAGCATCTGGGTCAGAGTTGAATTCAGAGCTTTGGGTACGTAAGGACAGGTAGATATATGAGTGGGGGCATGGTAGAGGTTTTGTGAGAATTCCCTCCTGGAGGTCATTACCAACCCCAAACGAGCTTTTCCAGTTGCTCATCCTTCATCTCTGGGATTAGCAGAGAAAAAGGACAATAAATCCCCATTATTCCAATTGTCAGAGCCGGGTGAGCAGTCAGGGCAGCAGCTGCCAGGCCCATGACCAGGTGGCCACAGAGCAGCTATCCCCTGCCTCTCTACAGAAGCCTCGCTACTTGCAGAGGTAGACAACTGTCCCAGCTCTCAGGAGCTGTAGGCTGAGTGAGGCAGATGCCATCAGGACCAAAAGGAGCAGGCTCATCTAGCTGGGCACTAGGTCAAGATCTGCCATGATGTCAGTACTTGAGAACCTTAGATGGTGTTTGGCAGGCCCACAGAACTGGACTTGTTCATGGACTTGCATTCTGGGGTGGGGGCAGGCATTGAACAAATGGCTGCAAGTGTGCTGAGTGGTAGAAGGAGAAACTGCTATGGGGTTCTGACAGTGGGGGCCAGCCTCCTCTGGGGCTGAGAAAGGCCTCCCTGGTGATGTGAGTTTTAAGCTGATATTGAAGTATTAGTAAGAGGTAGGTAGGCTACTGATTTGGCTTTTCCCCAGCTGGTTCTTACTCCTTCCCAGGGGTGCCGTTTGGAAAGGGGAGATGGAGATTGGAAAGCAGATGTGGAGAGAAACGTTGGGCTCAGAACTTCTGGAACACCTTCCTACCCGAAGGGGCAGCCAGGGCTACCTGACTCCCTTTGGTTGAGTTTTTCACTCCCTCGCAAATATGAAAGAACTTACACTTGTGTCACAACCCTAGTCTGGCCTTGCTTCAGCCTTTCTCAGGTCAATTCCTGAGATACAACCCACTTCAGACTTTGAACCCTCATTCTCTGAATGGTGGAAGCTGTTCTTCAAGAGCGCTTTCCCAACGCTCCCTCTCCTATTGACTCTCCTGCTTGGATAACTGCCCAAACACTTCAACACTAAGACTTTCCTTTATTCAGTGATTCATTTTTTAAAAAATTAATTAGCTATTTCTTGACGCCCTACCATGTGTCAGGCACTCTACCTCTGACTTGTCTCTACCTTGTTTCATGAGTCCATCACTCATTATATTATATTGATTATAATAGTCTAATGATAGGCCCTCAGCTTGTCTATCAGTCAATGGCCACTCAGGAGATAGGAACTATCCCAGGCGTTTGAACGGAGAGAACGTAATACAAAAAAATTTTAACTAGGTGTAAATTCATTAACCAGGTATCTGAAAAAGTAAAAGAGGACACTAAGGTGTTACAGAGGTAGTAGCTACTACAGAAAACATCCACTGTCCCTTGGGCTGGAGGAAAAAAGGTTGGGATTATTAAAATGCAGGAAGTTGGAGGAGGGACCCTGTTGGGCTGGAGCTCAGACCTCTGAAAGGGAGATGCTGATCGGCTAGTACTGGTGTCTCTGAGCTCAACATCGGAGAGGTCCTGTGGGGCTGGCTTCAGACCACTGAGAAGAGGGTGCCTGCCAGCTGGTGCTGGTATTTTGGTGGTGAGTGGTGGAATGCATACCACTGGTTCTGCAAGTGTTGGAAAAAACCATACTGAGTTCAGCTGCTGCTTTAGGAAGGAACTACCTCTGCCAAGATGAAGCAGCACCACTGGGGTGAAGCTTCCAGGAACAAAAGCAGGCAGGAAGCCACCAGGAAGCGAGCTGGAAGTCCTTTTTCTCTCCAGCCTTGCAACCTTCCCCTAGTGCCCCCTATTAGCAGAACCTAACATTAACCCAGCTGGCAAGAAAATAGGATTGGCAGCACCAGCAGGCCAAAGCTACACAGAGAAGGGTTGGTTTAAAATGGAAAGACAGTAACTTAATGATGAACACATATAGGACAGGTGACCCTTCATTTACCATACTTCCTTGGTGCCCGGAACAGTGATGGCTAGAGTGTGTTATTGGAAATGCCTTGGATTTGGAGTAAATGGACCCATTTCTACCGCTTAATTTCAGTGTGACTTATTGGTCAAGTCATCAATATCTCTGAGCCTTCATTTTCTCATCTGTAAAATGGCGAAAATAACCCCTGACCTACATACCTACCAACCTACCTATCTTGTATGCAAGCAAGAAATCAGTGTAATAAAGCAAGTATGAGAACTTTACACCTTGTATCCTGCCTCTCAAATGCAGCACAATGAATCAGTACTCAATATAATACTCTTCCCCATGGAAGAAAATGTCAGTCTATTTAGGGTTTTGAACATCCTCTTAAAGAACATATCCCCTTGGAGACTTCAAGGTTCTTCTTATAAGCAAGAAAGGCACAAACCAGGCTGCGTGTCAGGGAAACTTTCCTGACAATGTGAACATTGTATGAAAGAAAACAAGCCATTTCTTCTCAGAAATGAGGTTCTATTGCATAAGACCTCTCAAACAGACTCAGACAAAACACTCGCAGCTACGTGGCAGAGCTGGGGGTGAAGTTAGAGGGAATCAGGCGGCCCTTGTCCTTGGGGATGAACAGTCAGCACTGGTGAAGCTCTTTCCCACGTCTAATTTTGAGGCACATTTTACAGCTCCAGTGGCACTGTGTGGGTGTTGGAG